TACTACAAATAGGAACAATGTCAACTAAAGTATTTTGCATTGAATGAATGAGATATTTACTCGAATAAATTACTGACCATTAGTAAATAATATACATTTATGAAAAGAAGAGAGAAAAGGAGACAAAAAGAAAAGAAAAGAAAAGAGTTATAGGAGAGAAAGAAAGAGTGAGAGAGATAGGGGAGAGGGGTAGAGATAGAGGGGGAAGAGAAATATGAGCAAGAAAGGATATAATATATAAAAAAGAAAAGATGCAATTAAATGACGAAACGTTAATCTTAAGTTAATGATAATATAAGAAGCATTAATTTATACTGATCATTTGACGATATGCAAGCATGAATAATAAGAAATTTAGAGTAGGGTAAAATAATTCGACAGCTGGAAACATATTTTGAGGTTATGACCCGCGCGCGCCTGTGTGCAAGCATACGTGCCACACAAGCTACTAATACGAACCACATGAATCTCACACATACATATCATTCTCCCTCGTACATAGGCAAGAGCGGCGCGCGGTTGCACACAACAAAAGCCCAACTGACAAGGCGTAAACAAAAGAAAAAACGGACATTCCCAAAGATTTGTAGGATTGATAATGATAAAAAATTAAATGGATTGGCGCGCGGTCTATTGAAGTTCTATCGACGCTTAAAAATATGCATAGCGTCGTGATGAAAAATTGTCAATATTACCTCCGCGAACGCGGTTTTGCCACCCGTGTTTTCTTCTTAAGCTTTTTCCTATTTCCGCATCTCCTTCGGCTTGATATAAGTTCTTAACACAGTCTATCACAATTTTTCTATGGAAAAAGACACATGTTTAGAACATACGAAGAAATATTATCGCGAAAACAATAAACTTTTCTGGCACAAGTAGATCCAAGTACGCGTTACACTATTCGGTGGCAACGGCCATCATGTATTTGTCAAGGCTGCCATTACTACGAGTTCATAAAATCCCAATGTTTCTCACATTAGTGACCTCTTGTTTATGCCATTGGAACTTTTTGCACGATGCGCTATAATGACTATGAGCACTGATTGGCTATCATTCAAATTTTGACCAATCAAAGCGTCAAATTCGCTCTAAATTAGTTGCAAGAGTACTTTAAAGAGTTCGCCGATATATTTTCTCTTTTACCGATAAACTTGATAGACTAAAGAATATCTGTGTTCCTAACTATTCATCTTTTTTCGCGCTATCGACTGATTCACTGTGTTCTTTGCTAGAGTCTAGTAAAGACGCTATTTAAGCTTTATGACGACTGCTGGTCGAATTAACATTTCAAAATAACTATCCAAACATAATATATAATTACTTTATTTAACCGCAAAAATCATGTATTGTCATTCTTAAAAATAAAATTTCCTTATTTTCTTTAATAATTTCGACTTTATTTATTAATTAACATATGCAGTCATATTTTGTATAATATCAATATCAAGTATCATATGTTATGATTATGCGCACACATGTTAAACGTCATTTTAATGAAATGATAAAATATATAAAATTAATGTTTAATTTATTATACAAACGAAAGGCGTTTAACGAGTAAAGATTATTTCTATACTTTGTTTAATTTTTTTATTTCTATATTCGAGATTAATTATAAAGATTCGTTAATTTTCTTACAACATACATTTACATTTTGGTTGCAAGAACTTCGTCATGTAATATCTGAAATAATACTTTCTTCCTCTCTCTTTCTCTCTCTCACACACTCTCTCTCTCTTACTGTATTTATTACGAGAAAAACTGGAACGTATCTTAATTTAATAAATTTGTAATAACAAAAAAAATAACAAAAATTATATAAATGCATTTCTTGTAATTTTGTAAACAAAATATTAGATATTCCTCTCTCTGTTGATTAATTTTTATTATAATAAATGTTAAGAGTTTCTCTCTTTTTATGAATACTAAAATATTGAACAAAATTTTTTCTTTTCAATTTGATGTCTTGTTAAATTATATAATAGAGAAATATTAACATTTTTTAAAAATTTGTTTTCTCTTTTATCAAATAAACAATAATGTCTAATATTCCAAATGATTATAGATTGCATTCTGATGGATTGTATGATCCAACTACATATGCCACGACCGTTGCGTGATCTAATTTTCCTGGTATCATAGATATCTTATCTAGAGTCTTTTTTCGTCTACTTCGTTGTTCTTGCTTTGACAATTGCATTAATTGGCCATCTTTATGTTGCGCATAATACAAATCCGTATCTTCTAATATTCTTCGTTTGGCAGCTGTAATGCGTACCTTATAACATAAAAAATATTAAAATCCTTTATATTATATATACATAGGATTGCATAGAACTGTATAAGAATTGCATATGAATGCACAGCACTGTGCAGTATTCAATTACACTTACTGCAAAATCTAAGAGAAGTTCACAAAGATGTTTGGCGCTATTACATGGTGGTCCTTCACCAGAAACTCCTCTTCGTAATAAATCTTCCATTCTCAAGAGTGTAAGCTCGTGTCTTTGATATGCTTCCACCACGGGTAAACTATTACTATTTCCATTACTATTACCAGACTCTGTGTGCCGTAAGTTTTCTGCCGATTTTCTTCTTGTTTTTGTTCTTACATCATTATTACTTTTCACTGATATTGTTATATCGGAAGCAGCATTGTGATTTGGTAAAATTGCAAATTTTCCAACTACTGGATCAAAATTATCCGATATACCATCACTGGTTAAGAATACGACATCGCCAAGTTCAACTTCCGTTATAGCGAGCGTTAAATTATTTAATTCTGGATTAGATCCGTCGACGGGTCCCAGAGCTCCTAACGCATCGCGCATATCGCGCATACAATGAATATCGTGAGATCCTCGGGTTATTTCTCTAACACCAGTTTTCCTACAACAATTTGTTAAGCGAATTTGTATGCGTACAAAAATTTATATTATTAGTCATTTATACTAAATCTATGTATCTAAATTTTTCTTGTCAGCCTAGTTATAATGACCTAAATATTACATTACATTTAATAAATTCTAAGGACTTTAGTCTGCTATTATATTTTACCTTGAATATACATATGCTAAACTATCGCCAACATTGCACGTACAAGCCACATATTTGTTATGGCGAATACCAGAAGTAGTGGTTATGCTCTCTAAGGGTAGAACCGCACATACTGTCAATGTTGTGAGCATGCCTTGTTCCTGAAGTATTAACGAATGTGCTGCATGGAATGAACGTAGGAGGGCTACAAAAACATCTTTTGTCGTAGTTATAGCGCTATTTATCGAAGGTGAGAAAAGAGCTTTATTCAAGTATTCCATGCTTCCATGCACCGCAGATCTTGCTGCAATGCTTGCCTTTGAACCTAAACATGCGTTACAAGGAAACAAATTGCTCTAGTCTATTGCATTCTGTATAAATTACTTTTTTCTTATATCTAATTTATTATACCCCAGTTAACACCATCGGCCAAAGCCAAAATCGCTGAATTTTGTCTTGCAGAAATGCCAAAGCAGTCGGCTATTGGTTCCCCATTGTTAACATTATTTATAGGGTTTTTTTCATATAATGTTGTAGCAATACCATAAGCCATTTCATGAGGAAGAAACCAATTAGGGGCTCCAGCAATCACAACAGAAGATGAATTAGATCCTAAAGAAAATGATATTAAGTTAAATCAAAATGACAATTATATAATAAAATATCATATTACTTTATTTCTCCAACCTGTTCTATACTGATCGCTTTGATCCAGCATGTCAATATAATCGATATCAATATCGTTCATACTTAGATGTTTCTCTTGAAGATTAACCGCCGTTAGTCCACTATCAGGGCCTGTTAGAGCAGCGAATACTTCTTTATCATCCTGGTAATTTCCGAGTTGCTTAACAGGCAATTCCTCTGGATTTCTTCCATGCAAGATAGGTGGACCCTCTTGCTTTGTTTCTAATCTGTAAATCATTAAGGAAAATATTGTATCTTGCATTTTAAGCAATAGAAATTTACCTTAAACAATATGAAATAAAGATTAATTTATACCCATTGAGATAGCGTGTAATGAAACATTCGCTTGGAAAATCTTGTGTTACTGATCTTGGACTACGAAGAGGTTGTTCTCCTAATCCCATATTTTCAACAGCACCAGCCAAATTACTTATGGATAATTGACGCATAAAGCCAGCTACCTTCTTGCGTAAACTGGGCATTTTTCTTGTTATTTGCTACCGTTTATCAATTTAATCTATCAAATTTGCATTCTTTGTATAATAATTGAAAAATTCTTCCTTAAATTCAAGTCATTATTTCAAGTTTGAGGAATGTTTTTCTCAACCTAAAACACAATCAACAAAGAATATATGTTGTGCTTTTATTGTTGTAATTGATTGCTATTGTATATAATTGAGTATTTATTTTTTAAGCAGAAATTGTTCTTCTTTATATATATATACATATATAAAGATAAAAAATATCTTAAAAACATTTTAAATACATCAAATGGATAAGAATAAAAAGGATTACTTTGAAATCACATTGTCTTCATTCATTGTCAGCCAAAATACAACAAAGACGAATAGATTTTTTGATATATAAATAACGAGATACGTAAAGATATATATTTATATGCCTATATTTATAGAAAAAATATTCTATAGATCTATAAACAAAAATGCACATCTTACCTAGAATTGAATGAGAATCAGATGACAATATATACCATAAAAGCACGTCTTCCACACTTAAGCGCCATATTGGTAATGTGTGTAAATAACTGATAAATTGCAAATCAATCTCGCGGGATTTACGAAAATATTATTTATTTGTTAATTTGATAATATTGCCAGCTATTTCCTAGTAATACGTTCCTTATGTTTTATAATAATGTCAAATCTGAGAGTTAATTCGAATAAAAGATAGGAAGAAGAGGGGTATGATGGGGAGAGAGGATGACCAATTTATTTAGAAACTTGCGCAGTATTCGCGTAAATTTCCAACCGAGTTTATCGAATGTGATGATGTTTCTCGATTAAAAGCGTAGAAACATTAAACGAACTACGTCATTGTATTTTTTGTTTTTCGTCGACGTTATTTATACAAGAGAAAAATATATAATTACATTAATAAAAGAACATTATTTATTTTCCTTTTTTTTCTGCTGATAAATGCTTTTTACATAGTTTTGACATTTGGTCAGTCAATATGGCGGCCTCTATGCAGGTGAGAGACCATCGTTTTTCTCCCTTATTTTAATAACACTGTCGTACTTGGAGCCTCGTCGTAATAAGAAAATAGTGCGAATTATATCTCATTTGAGAATAATATTATTTAAGGAGTTTTGTAAATGTTCTTTTTTCCGAGCCATTAAATTCTTTACAATCTGGCAAGTTTTTGCAATAATTTTCAATTTTACTGGGATATGCGTTTTAGTTGGAATTTATTTAACACGTGGGACTCTTATTATGTAACGTAATTATTTAAAATCATTCTCTATTTACTTGTTGTCAAAAAAAATCTAACGTCGACTTTATTCCATAGTTATATTTTCACAAAGTAAAAGAATCCTTTGAACGTTTCTCTTCATCTAATTTTTTGTATACCTTATACATTTTTGTTTAGCACAACAGTAATCTTTTTTTCTTATGTTAAATGTTTTCTTGGCTAGTCTATAATGCAAAACACTTGCACAGATGTACGTTTGTACTTAGTAAAAAGTCGGCAATGTACAAGAGGGAATCTGTTATCGAATAAATATTGAAGCCAACTTTAGCTTGTGTTATTGATTCAATAAGCCAAAGAGAATAAAGAGAAAGGTACATTGAAAAGTGAAAAATTGATAAAATATACACTTGAATGATATTGAAATTATAAAATGTTCGAGTCACCGAGAAGTTTGCAAGAAGTCTGCATAGATTTTATTTGCGATAATGTTTTGACTTTGTGCGAAGTACATCTTGATGATACGAATGAACATTCCTCTGGATCATTTTCTCCTACCACGTATGGTAAGTAATACATGTTTGTACGTACACCTAGATAATATATTTCATTAAAAAAAGAATCTATTTCAGATCAAGTTAGATGCATATTCAGCAAAAGTAGCTCAGAAACATCAGTGCCAATATGTACATTGTCCAACGATGTATCACGCAGTTTACCTACTAGACTTAGTTTCAAACATCCCGATATCTTTTTACCAACTGCAATTTCAGAGCTATTATTGTCTAACCTTTGTGAGAGGAAAACATTATCCAATTTGACCATTACACTTTTTGATTCTAAATCAACTAGATTAAGGTATAAAAATTAGCTAAGCTGTAGAAGTAATATAATAGAATATATAAAACCATATAAAGAGTATCATTGATTTATCATTTTAGGCATGTCAAATTGAAAGATGCATCTACTCTATCTGCAAAAGGTTTAAAATTTCTTAAACAACATAAGATTGTAGATTTGGTAGTAAATGATTTAAAGGTCACAGTTAATGATCTGATCAGCTGTTTGAGTGATTGGAGTTTACAAAATCTTAGGTCGCTGAGCGTAGCTAAAGGCAGTTTTATGGATTGTTCGAGGTCTGCATTTAACGTGAATTATTTTTTATTTAAACATTTATACTAGCAAATCAAAGTTAATTAATTTTTTTTAGATACTGTGTGGTAGTAACATTGAGTAAATTACGTGCGCTGCATACATTAAATGTCTCAGGAACGGAATTTAATAAGCATGGATTAGAAATAGTGGTCGAAGATCTTCCGCTTTTAGAAAATTTAGATATATCATGCACTACAGTCGATGATATAACGCCATTAAGAAAATGTAAAGATCGTTTAAAAACTTTAACTATGTATAATATAAAAATAAGTAGATGCGGAAATCTGATACCTATTTTATTGGAATTAAATGAATTAAGAAACTTGGATATTTCCGATGAAAAAGATACATATGCTTTTGAAATGTTTGCGCCTAACAAACAAAAAATAGGAGATTTTCTCAAAGCTGTACATTGTATGCCACATTTAACTAGTTTGGATTTATCTGGTAAGTTATGCTTATTTGAATATATTTGTTTATTATTTGTCTATATATTTGTTTTTTTTTTTTTATTGTTTTCTAGGTAAAGATGAAATAAATCCAAAAGATTTAAAAGAATTTATTAAGGAACACCCGCATTTAAAATTTCTTGGTCTTGTGCACTCTGATACTTGTTACGAGGATAGTTTAATCAATCCTGCAAATGAAGATTATAAACCTGATCTTGTTGTAAGTTAATTTGTAAATAACTAAAACGCGAATAAAACGAAGCATTAATAGGATTATTATAAATATTTTAATTTGAGGATTCATAAGGAAGAAATAATATATTAATAATCTTTTTTTAATACAGGTCAGTGGTACAGCAACCGAATCTCAAATTTTAGAAGCTTTAAAAAAATATACTTGTCGATCGGTTTATATTCAAAAGTGTTTGTTTAATCTATTTCGTTTGACACCAAATTTTTTCGAACCACGCGTAGATGTAATCAAATTAGTGCTGCCTGGAATGCGAGAACATCCACAAGAATTTCGTGTACAAATGGCAGCAACCGCGTGTCTTTACAATCTTACAAAAGGTGAATCAGCAGTCATGATCCATCCATCAATTCTTAAACAAATTGTCGACTTAACATTGACTGCTATGGAGTCGTACCCATCTCATTATCAGTTACAAAAAAATACATTATTAACGCTGTGTAGCGACAGAATTCTACAAGATGTTACATTTGACAAATATAGGCAAGTTACATTTATATACGATGAATTATAACAAATAGACGATATTCTACTAATAATTTAATCCATACAATTTTAAACTCTAATAGGTGTGCAAGATTAGTAATGAATTGTTTATCGACATTTGACGACGCGTCAATGAATCGAATGTCAGTAGCAATTTGCTCCATATTAGCAGCAAAAATATCAACAGCGGAAACGTCTATGCTCGGTGCACAGCCGCAATATATGTCGAAGTTATTAACAATGGTCAAATCAAAAGTTCAATCTAATTCAGTTGATATTACAATGAAATTCACATTAAGTGCTCTATGGAATTTAACGGACGAAAGTGCCACTACGTGCAAAGTTTTTTTGGACGAGGGAGGAATGGAATTGTTTCTTCAAGTACTTGAAAGTTTCCAGGGTGAATCTAGTGTGGAGACTAAAGTACTTGGTCTATTAAATAACATAGCTGAGGTTGGTATTCGGACAACAAACTAAATGATTTTTTTCTTATTTATGAATCTGTGATAATTTCTGATGTATATTTTTTATAGGTTGTACATCTGCGGCCACGACTCATGCAAACTCGTTTCATATCGATGCTTTCCTCGCTGTTAGATTCTGTTAACATCGATGTGTCTTACTTTGCGGCAGGTATCACAGCACATTTGCTAAGCGATGGTCCTGGAGTTTGGAGTTTAGTATTTTCACATCCTACTAGAGAACAATTATTAGAACAATTAGCTCATGCCGTTACTCAGTGGCGAACTCCGCAAGGAGAGATGGTCGCTTATAGAAGTTTTCAGCCATTTTTCCCTCTTTTACGTTGTTCAGATGCATATCCTGTTCAGCTTTGGGCAGTATGGGCGATACATCATGTGTGCACAAAAAATCGTGAGTTTTATTTTTAAACTACCGTTATATATTCGAATATATTCAACATCTATTTTATTATTATTATTTAAAATATATTATCATATTTCTAGCAAAACGTTATTGTGGCATGTTAACGAGGGAGGGTGGAGTAGAAACATTAAAATATCTGGAAAAAACGCATACGGAAAATACAAGTCATCCAAATTTGCGGTCTCTGTGTCGATCAATTCTTGAAACTCTGAAATTAAATTCTTGTTAATATCAACCATTGCCTTCCAAATTGAGAATCAAGTACTATGCAGATGGTATACTAGTCAATGATTATCTTATTAAAATCTTATATTCTGTTTGTTAGACCAAATAATGAAAACTTCTGTATGGAAATGATATTCATCGAGCAAGCATTACAATCAAAACAGTACAATTCAGTTCATTTACTATTAACCACATTGATTAACATTGAGGGCCTGAGATGAAAATAATGATTTTAGTTATCTTAGGAAAATTTTTAATTTAACTTAAGAAATGATCCACTTCACTAAGACAATTATACTGTTTAAAAAGAAAAAAAACTATTTAGCCTCATAACAAATAGTACTTATAATAAAACTGAAAGATTGAATTCATCTTATTTGTAATCTGTGATTTAACAAAATAATTATTTTGCTAACATTTTGTATCTCTTGTAAATGTAATGGTATAATCGTTTTAACGAGGTGCTATGTAATATTGAATAAATTTGTTTTCTTACATTATATTATGATCAATATTATTATATTCTTTATATTAGATTTTAATTATTCTTATCGTAAATATGAATGAATGAAATACAATAGATTATAAAAGCTCAAATATATATTGTTATAAATAAAAAAGAATGAAATTAGAAAGATTTCAATGTTGCTACAAAAAATATTAACTACTTTACTGTTTTAGTAACTTGCAATGGATTAAATGACATCTAATTTCTATTTTTTAAAAGTCTACTTTTGATAGCAATATCTAAGAATACATATATAATAGACATATGAAGGGTAAGAGGGGTGGGAGGGAAAGGGAGAGTATCTCTCTCTCATTTACGTACTAAAATATGAAGAAACTTTACATAATATTATAATATAATTTAGTTCAGGTCCTCAACGCGTTTTGTTGATAGCTGTATCTTGTAAATGTTGAAATGCTAATAACCACATTAGGTCATTTTTAATAATTAACTGTACATTTTTATGCCTTCAGAGATTATATGGAAGTAAAGAATTTTTAATGAGAGAAATAATGTTTAAATTATGTCTGTTATAAAAATCTTTTATGAATTAATATAAGCGAAATTTATTCTTCTGATATATATCATTAAATGTTGATCCGAGATGTAAGAAACCTCGTGTTCAATGTTATTGAGTTTTAATAAACAAACTGCGTCGGCTTCTAACATATTCTTTTTATTCTGTACCAATAATATGCGTTTATTATCTTTATTAAATTTTATTAAATTTTATTAAATTATATTAAACTCGCCCAAGGTAAGCCGAGAAAATCTTTATTTACCACCCATTCATTTTACATTAATTTTTTACACTTATGCCTTAATTATTCTTTTTTTTCTTGTTTATTTTTTTTCTCTTTAATGGAACGTAAAAAATGTTCATGAAATCTGTATTTGTATCGTTATCACTCAATTGATGCCGATGCTGCACTGCACCTGCAAAATACTTAGCGACGTGGAAGCGAAATCTGGCTTGATCATTAAAATGTTGAAAATCAGCTCTCCTCCTAATATAGCATAGTGGGTTAATGACTCAAAAATTCATTTTACATCATCTTACAAATTAGTAGCAACATATTTAAGATAAAATTGAAAGTGTATAGTTAGTTGTAAATAAATGAAAGTTGTATACATGATTTTTTGTAAATATATATGCTGTAAGATCAAACCGATGACTTTATGTTTTAACCAACTTTCATTTATCATGCATACAAAATTGACTATAAATTATAGTAGTATGGTATTATCCTAAACATTCACATTGTAGTTCAATTCTTCTTTTCTATTACTTAAATATCAAACATATTCTTTTTTATATTCACGAATAAAATTCAATAATTATATTTCATTAATTGTATCTGCATTTATATATTGAGATAAAAAATAAAGAGAAAAAATTGTTATTGTTATTATTATTACATATATATACTTTTCTGTATCAGTCTTAATATGACAGTATTTATAAAGTTTTCTTATTTTTTATAATTATACATTATACTCTTCTTTTATATCAAGCATCATCTTGGAAGTTAAAAATGCGATTGTTTCCTTTTTTTTTTTTTTTAAGTGCAATTTTACAAGCGACATGAATATATAAGATATATAACAAGAAATAATATATCCTTTCCAATTCTTTTTTTTTTTTTCATTTTACAAGTATATTTAAATTTTTTAATTTTCCCTCGTGTTAATTTACCATAACTTTGGTAAGTTAAATTTTGTATGTATTATACGAAAAAATTTAATATATTGGAGTAGTGGATATTCAATTCCAAAGTAGAATAAATTATTTATAGACTTTTTAGGATTTTAATATATATATATATATATATAAAAAAAAGAAATTTTATAATTCTTTTTTCTTTTTATATAGTAAATACAATATTTATATATATATTTGAATAATATAAATAGGCAAGTATTAAATTTAAATAAAATTTTAAATTAAATCATATCTTTAAAATTGAGTTGTATTTATGTTAAAAAAAGAAATTTCTTAGTATTTTTATATAAACTAAAATATGTCAAATTTCTATAAACATATATATTGATGTTGCACCTTCTTAATACATTTTTTTTTTACATGTTTCATATATTACGTATTTGTAATTAATTTATATTGAAACCTATATATATTACAAGCTTTAGCATAATTCCATTCTTTTTGAATTTTTATTTTAAATGAAGAAGATAAGTATTAAGTAAAGAAATATATTAATAAATATGTTTTTGTAAAATTATGAATAAAATTAGCATATGTGGAGGAGAAATGTAAATGATTATACATAATAAGGTAATTTGTTATACAAACACGATATTTTTCAGGGAATGTTTTAATTCTTTTTTTCTTCTTTTCAATATGTACCTTTTTGACTTGAAATTTTATTGGCAATATTACGAGATAAGTTTTTTGTTTTATCTTTTTTTTTTTTTTTTTTTTTAAGTTTTTTTTTTAAAATAATCAAGACTGATACTATTACTTATTTCTACCATTACTATATAATATGAATGGTAGAAGCAATTAATTGAACTACAGTTGTGAATGATCGCAGATCTACAGTTTTTAATTTTATGTCGTGATATACTAAAATCAAATATAATTTAATTGTGCCCGTCTTTGTCCAATATTTTTTTTTCTTTTGACATGTGGTTTTTCTTTCTCTTTTTTTCCTTCGTATGAGTTTTTTTTTTCTGTGGACATATCATAAGAATTTACTTAAACACCTTAACGTATGGTTATACAGATGTGGAAGTTTTTTTTTTTTTTATATCACTTACAAATAAATTTTGCACAAAAGTTTATAACTTGTGTGTTACCATTGTTTAACGTACCATATCTGTATCCTTAAAAGTTAAATTGCGACACTGTCTCACAATGTGTGATAATTTATTTTATTTTTTAACAAGTACCGAACAATTTCTTTTCATTCTCGTCAAAATTAAATTAAAATTAAGTGAGTTCTTTTATGAAACAGCGTCACTCTCTACTTAACTTTCTTAATTTAAAAATATACGCAACTCATTATAATTTTTAAATAATAAAATTCAATTAGATAAAATATATTTCCAACAAAGTGTGAATGTTGATGATTAAAATTTCATAAATGGATGATACATTGTATGACAATATGTACAGTATTTATATAAATTAATCAAGTTAATATTTGAAATATTGTTAAGAAGTATTCATATACACACAATATAAGATGTGTTCTTTGTATTAGAAATATTTGTTCTCTTTGGGATTTGAAATATTATGCTTTGTAATAGAAAAAAAAACGTGTACGAATACACGTGTAATATTAAAAATAGTTGTATCTCCTAATAAGAAAATAAAGCGAGTAGATTATTTTTAAAAATGACTCTTATATGATTTTAATCTTTAAACGATTACAAATATGATATATATATATATTCGTCAGTAAAAAATTATAAATAATTGTTTCTAAAATTGCAAAAGAAACAAAAATACTAGAAGAATTTATAAATTTTGTTATAAAAAGATTCGAAGCTTTACGCGTTTAAAGCTGCAATTGTTATTTTCATTTAAACATTACTTTTCTTCAAACACACATACGAGAGATAAAAAATGATCATATATTATAAAGGAGAACGCTTTTTCAATGTTTATAAAAAAAAAAAAAAATCTTGGGCAAGTTCTTCCTTAAGAAAATATTTACAAAAAATTAAATTACAAAGTGTTAACGAAATAAGAACTTACCTTGAAATTGTCGAAACCATAGCACTATAGTTTAAAATGATTAGTAGGGCATGTAGTAGCCTCGCCTGTAACTTCTGGAATAAATATGTAAAAAAGAAACAAAAACCAACTTGATATAATTAGAATATGTCTACGAATATTATTTAATAGAAAATATCTAAAGCGTTAAATACCTTAGTCTCCTAGTAGGTCTGTATCCGAAGTATGCACTGCCACGAATTATCCCTCGAGCCATACCACGATAACCGCGTACACCCCTAGGCCCCCTACAATGAATATACATTTTTATTCGTATTACTTATTCCTTAGATACGATCTATTATCAATCTTCATACCTATTTGTTATAGAAAGTCCTGGTCTATTTGTTCGTTTTGGCATAACTTTTATCTGACGTCCTCTAAACATGGATTCGTCCATAGCCATGGCCGTTTGTACGGAATCACGTTCAGCAAATTCAATGTATGCAAAACCTTTTGGATGACCATCGTATTTGTTACATAGTATTGTTACTCTGTTGACACTACCACAGCCATGAAAATGTTGTTCTAATTCTTCGGCTGTTGCACCATAATCTACCTGTTGTACGCAAGAATAAAATGTTTTCTATGTATAAGAAAAATAATGACATTGTTGGATATTGCATTTTATTATTTTTAACTTACATTTCCAACGTATATAGATCGATTATCAACTTCCATTTTATCCTCGAGCGACATGTTCAATGGACTTGCTGAAATAAATGATTTCTATATGAATTCTGATGAAAGTAGAAGTAGTATATATATATATATATATATATATATATATATATAAGTGAGGGAAAATAAATGTGATTATTATTAAGATAATGATGTGTACAGAATCTTAAACAGGGGATTTAAAAAGAAGATACAAAAAGTATATCTTACTGATTCCGGGTGGACTACCCATGTTCATCTGTTTATCCACCTCCGACTGAAGTTGTTTTAATTTCTCAGCTTCTTCTTCCATCTCTCTGACTCGCGCCTTTATAGCTTCCAGTTCCTATAATATGATCAAATAGAGCATATATTTTAATAAAACATACAAAATATTGTTATTTAATTATCACATACTGGATCATCTATATTTGCTTCATTCAATTCGCGTTTAACTGCGTCACACTGCATAATAGCATCACCATCTTGACCATTTTCAAGTCCATCAAGGCCATCAATATGGTCATTAGCTAATAAATCTGATTCAGACATTTCTATAACAAAATATCATTTATATGACAGTTATTAGTATGATAATTTTCTCTTACTAATTTATAAATAATTTACATACGTTAAGCATTATTAAAACATGTGTTTTCATATTTAACTAAATAAATAGATTTCTTTCAAATATGAACTTTACATTTATTAAGAGAATCAACGAATTCTATTCTTAGCATTGTATTTAATACATATCAATGTATTAATTTAATGCACATTACATATTCAAACTTTGTGAAATGTCAAAGTAAGAATTTAAATTTCTAATTTTTATGCTACTACTTAATCGTTCATGTCCAAGTTTTTAGATATGTTTGTATGTAATGGTAATAATGAATCCAAGTCAATGAGATCGGCTTTTATAAATATGTTATAAACAATACAAATTATTATAATGATTTCGGCATGCATTAATAGAAAATTAATTGCGTTGGTACTCGAAACAAGGAGTGGAGAGAAAGATGCATAACTTTAATCTTTTTTCAATGGAGAAATGTATCAAATTAGTGAAAAATGGAAAAAATTTATAAAATTAGTAAAAAATGTTGAATAATTAGTAAAAGAAATATCGTTAATAAGATAAAAACAAGGTAAACTTAATAGAGAAACTAAATACAAAGTAAATAGATAAGTTTTAGTAGGAGTAACAAGTGATCTGATATCGACTGACTGGGATTCTTAAGTGAGCATTGCCAATCCAAGGGTTAATCAATATTCAAATATCAGTTAAATTATACTCAATCCGCGAGTAATCCATGTACAAACAAATATATCAAGCAAATATTTCAACCGCGGATAGAAGATATTTACAATAAAAACAAATCTAATTAGATATGTCATATATAGGATATCATCAAAATTCATTACAAATCGAAACTTGAATAAAATAGAATGTTAGATCAAAATGGTTATGGTACTGTAACGAATCAATGTTTTTTTAATGACCTAAATCATATAATTAAGTACTACGAATATAAATAATGAAAGATGTATTACATACGCGTACTTTTGGACGTTTTTTTTACAGTTTAAAGATATTTAAATAAAATCAATTCTTGAAACGTTTCGATATTCCACCTACGCACCGTGCTTCAAGCACGCACCACACACCAAACAAGATTGACGCGATGAATACATCACATGATATAGGCGAATTTTTAACACTTCTTTACATTTTATCCTATAATCCCATTGGATGTACATATATCCCACTGGACCAATGATCAACAACGATTTCGGAATATTTTGACGATCGACTAATGGGAGAATCCTGAAAATTGGACGTACATGTTGATTGGTTTAAATATCTGTCCAATTAAATGTTCTTCAATTCCGATTGAACACTTGCGACCAATTACAATTAAGAGAATTCATACTGCTGATCTACGAGTTCTATCGTGACAACACATTGTAAGAACCTATCCTATGATAGATAAGATGAATAAAACATGTCTTTCAATGACGAAAATAAGAAATACAAAAATGAGATTTAAATTGTAGAAAAAAAGAGGTCGTTCGATCGAAACTAGATTAAGCGATTTCTTTGTTACAAGTTTAGGCTCCTACGAAATTACGAAATAATATCTATGAAATCTCTGTTTTCGTTTTTTTATAAATGGCTGAATTCTGAGTCTTATTGCTTGCACAGTGTATGGTCCTAATAGAACTCTATAACTGCGTTAGAATTTAAAAAATATCGAGTTTGGCAACGTTGTATTAAGCCGCTCTATGTCAACGAGTTTGAAGTAAAAGAAATCTACATTACCTACCGAAGGAAAGCATGAGATTATCACCCAACGATAAAACAGGAATTTATTTTACCATTAAACATCAACGAAAGAATCTTCTTTACCGATGACAAAACAGAAATCTTTTATTGCCGACTTACGTCCTAAGACTACGTATTCGTATTCTAATATCGAGGGTAATATCAATTTATTATTAGTTAAGGCTTATGTTTTATACGTGCCCAGATTATATAATAAATTACAGCTGATTTTGAAGTATTTACAAAATTTATATAATTTTTTACTGTTCAAGCAAATAAATTTAAATTCGCAAGGAAGATAAAAAAAGAATATTTCAAGTTTATTCATATAATTATTTAAACGATCGATGATCTTTATGAAAGAGTAGCTTGGCAATAAATAAAAGTAAATATAAATATTAGGAAATCTAAATGAATTCGAATCACTTGAAATGCATTAGCATTATACTTTAATCATTTAATTCTAAGAATGAATCGTCGAATCGGAGACATCAATGCGATAGAATGATTAGGAAAGTACAAATCGATAAACTGAGGGAATAATTGTATATACTGCGTTAACGTCAAATGCGTAACCACGGATATGTTGGGGTTGTTGTTAGAAAAAGGGGAGCATTTACCCTTCCACTTTGCGATTTTATTAGAAAGTGCGCGCGCAAGTTGAACGGAAAAGGAAAGAGAAAAGACAATGTTCCAATCTCGAAGGCACGTTTCTGCAAGGTAGGCGTGCACTCGTGCATTAAACATCGAGCATACGGCTGAATCGATTGGTTGGTGGCTGCAACGCAGGGAACATTGTCCTCTCGCACCATCCTTTGGCATCGTCCTCTGGCACCGTCCTCTGGCACCGTCCTCTGGCACCACCGTCCTCTCGCACCACGTCCTCCATCCTTGGAAGGCCTCTTCGTCCGGCCTCTTCGATGCGCATGGAGATCGGATTGTTGCACGGGGATGAGAAGACAAAATAAAAGAACAAGAGTATCCTCGTTCCTTGGGACGGTTCTCGCTTGATTCGACTCCACCTTCCGTTTTGCGAACAAGAGTATGCGTTTGCTGATGAAAAGAAGGATGGAGAAGGAGGAAGAAAGATAGAGAGAGAGAGCGCAAGAGAGAGGAAAATAGAGTAAAAATATACCCTCCTCGTATCTAGCTAAACGCCCATCGTCAACGATCTTACCAAGGTAGGGGTTTAACGTGAAAGAAAGTCGAGCGATGATTGGAGGCAAGCCATAATATCAGGTGGGACCTAGAACTCGAGGAGGCTCCTCGTCAACCAATCCCAGGCGCTACCGTGCCAACGTTTGAGTAGGGGAACTTGTTGCGGGGGTGTGGGTATGGTTAGTAGCCAGTATCCGTGGAGACACGATCGTGGGAGCTTAGATTTCCAAGCTTTTTCATACAGTATACCCTAAGACTCTCTTCTAGTATCTACGTTTTCTTTCGGTTCTAAATAAATATCTTAGTAATTAGTGTCTTTTTGTTTCTTTTATTCTAGATTTCCCTCTTTCTCTCTCTCTCTCTCTCTCTCTCTCTCTCCTCTTATCTCGTTAGATACAAAAACGATTTGTTACGTATAATAACGAAGTGACGTTCGTACATCATGAGTGAATTAACAGTGTCGGACTTAACAGGATAATTCTGGTGAATAGAATAGAATAAATAAATGATAAAAAGACGAAATTTGATCGTGATCGGTGTTATTCGGTGAGGAAGAAGAAAGGATCCTTCTTCCTTTTTATTTCCTCGTGTCGATTATATGAGAATATATGGATAGATTAGTGGGAAATGTTCCACGCATTGGGATTAATCTCGGATGATAAACTATCATCATTGGTGCTTTTTATCGGTGCTAAGCTCGTCAAAGTTTAAGCTCGACAAGTTAAGTACTAGAACAAGTAGAAGAAAAAGAAGAAGAAGAAGAAGAAGAGAGAAGAATGATAGTTCTTTGGCTGGTGGTCAAAGTTAATCGTCGATTAATGGTTCGAATCACATAGGAAGAAATAGGTGTTGAAGTCTCCTGAGAAGCCCGAGCTAAATCGCTCGTTAAGCTTCTATTCTTGAGGCTGTTGGCTTTCCAAGAATGCCGCGGCCGTCGCGCGATACTTACGGAGATCAAAAACCACCCTTCTCTTATATATCGCTTACGGCAATGGCGATATGGTCATCGCGAGATAAAATGTTACCTCTCGCTGAAATATATAAATTTATCGCCGACCGATTTCCTTATTATCGAAAGGACACACGCCGATGGCAAAACTCTCTCAGGCACAATTTATCCTTCAACGATTGCTTCATCAAGGTTCGTTTATTCATTTTAATTTTTTAATCAAGGATCACAAGGTCTATTACAATAAACCCATGAAATATTTTGCAATATTATATTTGATGTATTATATTCAAAGTTATACGCGTTGACAGTACCACCCCATTTCGATTTACGATTTTTACTTTCATTTATTAAGTTTTCTTTTTACCGGGCGCGTTATGCAAATCATTCGAATATGATTTCTATATGTTTCTTCAAAAATAATCTATTTACTTTTAATTCGTCGTTAATTATTCAATTTACTATCGCCACACGTGTGATCGATAGTAAAAATACAATATAAACGTTTGCTCGACATATATATATATGATAGAATGCGTGTAATATTTTTTAGGGTCAAATGATCAAACCTTCGTAGACAAATATTTTAAATCGTAAAGTAAAATATTGAGATTATTATGTTTTTATACAAAAATTACCTATAGATAATTTAGAAATTTGTAGAAATTGTCGTAATGTAATTAGGAAAGGGTTAGGAGGGTATAGAACGGAAAAGAGAGTGAGTTAAAATTTGATAATCTTTTTCAAACGATAGTTCTATCAAAGTATAATATAAAATGTCTCTCATTCTTATTTGTTTTTTTATTTTTATAAGAAAGGCTCGCACCTCTCAATAGATTCTATATTATTATTGTACGTTTTGTGACCATCTGCGTTTCGCACCTGCCAACCTGATCATCGACTTAACGCGTCTTCGCTCTCCAAACGAATAAAAGGCTTGTGTATTATTATTACTTGTCGACACATATCCATTTCATCGACAGGAATCACGACCAACTTTCTTTTTCTATTTTGATCTATCGAAAATGAAATCAAAGATAAACGCCTTTTTTTTTCCTTCCTTCCTTCCTTCGTAGAAGTTGATTCTATATATTTTGTTGTCGTTGTTGTTGTTGGTGTTTTTGTTGTTTGATAAACTAAATTATTGTGCAAATGTTTGTAATTTAAAAAAATAACTAATTCATTTCTGCGCGAGCGAACAAACTGGAAAGAAAGATAATCACGCGAGTTTGATATTTCTTTCATTTATTTTTTATCTTTATTCGAATGATTTATATGCAACTATTTTGTCTAATTTTTCATCTAACACGATCTCGTATCAATCAAATATAAAAATACGCTTGACGCTTGTAAAAATGAAAAAGTTACAGACCGCGAAATCGGGAATTGTAAAATGAGAATATTTAATTCATTCTTATTCCGAAAAGGGGCAGTTTTTTTCGTTGTCATTCATTGTGAAAATAATGCAATAGCCTTTTAAGGAAATTTATTTAAGTCAAACGTAATTAGTATAATGTAATTTCCCGTAGAAATTAATTTCCCGTAATTTTTAGTCAAACGTCAAATATTTTCAATGTATCGCATATTATTTTAAAAAATATACATCATACTTTTATCATTTATAAAAAATAATATCAAACATTTTTTATCACATTAAATTAATTAATTTGCTTCTTAGATAGATGCATACCTATCCCTATCTGCTATACATTTTTATTTGCCGTCGGACAAAAATCTTATTTTTTTACCTTTTCACGTAAAGCAAATTTCTTCTAAAGTTTTTTAATATTACCACGTTTAAATAATACATTGAAATATATTAAATCTATTATCCCCCACCGTGGGGATAATATAACAATTTTCATCAAAAAGATTAGACACTTGAAATTATATTTAATGTACTTATATTTCCCATAGTTCATTCCCATAATTATCTTTAAAATTGCACTCGTTCGTGTATCGAAACTAAAATGTTATTATCTTCTATTTCGATCATTAGTTGACTAGCCGAGCTATTTTAGATTGTATTTTTTTTTCTTATACGATTACATCATTTAGATATATATTAAAAAAAGCAAACATTGCACACACAAATAGAAAAAGAAAGATATTTTACTTTGTGCGCGAGTCTTCAGGATGTCCTGTTTGTTGGATCATTCCATGTGACATGTGCCATATGTCACCGGTGATGTGTTTTTAGAATATAAAAATGAAAAAATAATAATAAAATATCTATCTGTTCTCCCCTACCAG